GGCTTTTTTGGCTAGAGGCCTTTCGGCTAGAGAGCTTTTTCAGGCTGAGGAGTCCTAGAGGTGATGGGGCAGTGGCTTGTCTCTGATCTTTCAGCATTTATCCCAGTATCTGGCTCTGGGATTTTGTTTATTTAAAAGACCATTTAGAATTCGTGTTACAGGTGCCAGTTTAAATACATAAATTAAGTCTTATCCCTAGATTTGATGTGGACGTTCAAGGGGTATAGAAAATGTTTAGTTATTTAGATTTTTCTGATCGCTAGGTTTGAGTTTCTGTTGATAGTTAAGTATTATTAATACTACCCTCAGAAGATTATCGTGAAGATTAAACAAAAATTATGTAATATCAGTTTGCCTGATGTAAAGAAAGCATTAAGTAAATGCAAGTTATAATCTGTATTAATGTGACAAAAAAAAGTTGTAAAGAACCCTAGTATTCTGCAGAAGAAACTCCACTGAAATGCTTAGGTTTTAAATTTTTAATTACTTACAAAAATAAAAAAAAAGAGGCAAATGTGACAGAAACATAATATTGGTCCCCTACATTCCCCAGGCCCATTCACTCTCCTAAGAGAAGTAATATGAGCCATGTGAATGTCCTAGGGTTTTGCTTGGCAGTGTGTGTCTGGGTGTTGAACCCTGGGCCTCATACATGCTGAACAGATGCTCTACTGCTGAGCTACATTCCCAGCTCAAATGTAAACAATTTAACATGTATAGTTATGTATATTTCTCTGTACACACACACACACACACACACACACACACACACACACACACACACACACAACTTTGCACCTTGCAAGGAAGTGTCAGAGTCATCTTTTTGGGGTCTGTTTGTTTGTTTGTTTGTTTTTAAGAAAAGTTCTCACAGCAGCCAAGACTGGCCTCAAACTACCTATGTGTCCCACATTGGTCTTGAATTTGAAATTCCTGTTTTGGCCTTCCCAGTGCTGGAACTGCAGGGTACATCACCACATTCAGCCTTTTCTGGATCTTTTAAAGGTGCAGTAGAGAATTTCTGTTACTTCTGTCTGCTCACTTGTCCACTTTTCTTCATTTGGGTATTGGCAATCCAATTTTCCTCTGGGAAATAAACCCTGCTTTCCTCCTTACTTTCAGTTCACACCATCCATGAGAGCCTGGCTTTACCACTGAGCTCCAGGCACAAGCTCATAACCAGGCCTAAAGAGTCAAAGAGTCCATCTTCCTTGCTAAAGTGACGGGCCTCGAAACTGACATGGGACTCAAGACAAACCAGCAAAGCTAAGCACTTCTGCTGAAGTGACTAGGCAAAGCATTTTCTACTGGGCTTGTTAGGCTAAGAGAGCACAAACCACTATTAGTTGCAGCCCCTTTCTGGCATTCATGGTCATCAAGGACTCACAAGGTGTGCATACATTCATACATATATACATGTTGTAGAATAATATTTTAAGGTGTGTTACTTTTGTTTATGTTGCATTTGTTTAGCTCTGTGAAGCTGTGTTACTGTGCCTGTCTAAAACACCTGATGGTCTAATAAAGATCTGAATGGCTAATAGTGAGGCAGGACAAAGGATAGACGGGGCTGGCAGGCAGAGAGAATATATAGAAGGAGAAATCTAGAAGGAAAAGAAGTAGCTAGAGAAGGAAGAGTACTCAAAGGAGGCCAAAGGTAAACAGGATAATTAAAGTTAAGGAAAGCTGGCAAGAAACAAGCCAAGCTAAGGCCAGGCATTTATAATTAAGAATAATCCTCCATGTGTGATTTATTAAAATGAACAACTCTCTCTCTCCCCCTACCCTCCCTCCCTCTCTCTCTCTCTCTCTCTCTCACATATGCATAAAATAAAAACAAATCTTTTTTAAAAAGACATATCCAAAGTACCAGATGGTAATACTCAATCATGAAGATCCCATTTTAAATAATTAAAGCCTGTATCTAAGGACTGTCACTAATGAACACTGAATAGCTATATTTTGAATTACAAGACTGTTGGGCCAGGTATATGTACTTGGCTTGGAGCAGCCAGGTCTCTGCTCACTGGTTAGCATCTAGCACAGAAAGTCTTCCTAGCAATGATACTTTTCAGCTGGCCAACATATTTCCTCTTAGGAACTTCAAGTATGCAATACTGAGGTAATGAAGGGGTCACTGGCTGAGCTAAAGTCAAAATGATATAGATATCAGAAAACCATGTAATGGAGTTAAACACAAAGCTAAGAAACAAAGAGTGTATACTGGTGTTAGCAGCAACAGTGCTTTAGTTCTGCTTACGTCTGGGATGGCTCCACTGATTCATGCGTTTCTTTGGGCCCATCTTCTTCAGAAAATAGGAGAGACTTGGTAATAACCAAAGCCTAAACCAAAATACCTGAATTGATACATCAGCTCTCACAGGTGAAAATCAAGACTTGGTGACCAACAAAGAGACAGTAAGAAAGAAAGGGAAACATTTACATGATAGGGAATGGAGGGACACTGAAAGAACACATGGTGTGAACATGAGGCCAATTTGACAGTTAACCCTGAAATGTCGGTAGAGATCGGAATTCACACTTCAACAACGTTTCCTACTGCACAGTAGTCCAAGCCACTGAAATACAGGAATGCCCACGAAAGAGTCCGACTCCAGAGCTCCTTGACAAGATGCTGGATAGATAAGGCTTTCACTACTGTCAGACAATGAGAAAAAAAGACCTCGCCCTGCTCTGTCTACTGTGCCCATTTACCCTGTAGCTAAGCATCATAGCCAGTAAAAAGGAGGGCCTGGAGGAGGTCTACTAGGTCTCAGAAATGACAAGGTACCAGGCATGGTGACATATTGCTGTAAGACCAGCACTCAGAGGCTGGAGAGACAGCTCTACAGTTAAAAGTACTAGCTGTTTGTCCAAAGGATCTAGAGTTGATTCCAAGATGCCATATGGCAGGTCACAACTGTCTCTAACTTCAGCTTCAGGGGATCTGATGCCCTCTCTGGCCTCCGAAGGCACGAAGCACACCTATGATGCACAGATAAACATGCATGACCATACACATTTATTTATTTATTTATTTATTTATTTATTTTTTTTTTTTTGGTTTTTCGAGACAGGGTTTCTCTGTGTAGCTTTGCGCCTTTCCTGGAGCTCACTTGGTAGCCCAGGCTGGCCTCGAACTCACAGAGATCCGCCTGGCTCTGCCTCCCGAGTGCTGGGATTAAAGGCGTGCGCCACCAACGCCCGGCGACCATACACATTAAAAAAAAAAAAAAGACCAGTATCCAAGAGGCTGAGGCAGGATGATCATGAGTGGGGTCCCATTTCAAAGCATAAAGCAAAACACTAAAACTACAAAGTATTGAAAATTTGATTTGTCAAGGTCATATCAAAAAAGAAAACTTCCATATAACTTAATTTGTTACAAAATCATATGAGACACAGCAGTTTAACAAGTACACTTCCTTCTTTCTCAAAGATGAAGGGTCAGAACAGCTAATAAGAAGCAGAATGGGAACCCCTGGCAACTTCAAGGCCAAGCTACATAGGCATCATATACAACTGTGGACAGTCCACTGACTGATCCCACTGAGGGCCAGGGCCGTTTGCTTTTCCTTAGCCTTTGCTAGACCACCCCAGAGAAGGAACACAAACTTAGTTTCTTATTCTGAAGGAGGAAAAAATAATCCAGCTTGCACACCTCCAACTTTTGCTACTGTAAACTACTAAGAATTCAAAAGGGGCTGTGAATTGAGGCACACATCTACTTCCCTCTTCACTAGTCCTTGCTACTTGGATATGTTAAGGAAAGTCAAGATGTCATGATAGTACTAAAGGTTAAGGTTGAAATACAAACATGGCTTATCTTAAGTGCAAAAGATAAGTATTTTAGAAAGAGCAACTGAGACAAGAACAGAGGTTCATGGAATGATAAGGGTTTTTTTTCTCCTCCCATTTTTTGGGGGGTGGGGTGGGGCTTTTTTTGAGATAGGGTCTCACCCTATAGCCCAGGGTGGCTTCCTAACTCAACACAATGCTCCTGCCTCAGCCTTCTGAGTGCTGTAATTAGAAATGTACCACTACACTGGCTAGAATAAGATGTTCCTTAAAGTTGTTAAAAAGGCCTGGCAAAGACAAACGCAATTTTCTGTAACTTTCAAGTCCCTGGTTCCCCAGGGCCCTGGACAGCTGAGTATCTAATTAAACAAGCTCCACATCTTCCATCCTTCTTTCTTCTACTTTGTATGATTTCTCACCCACTGCCAGGTTTTTGCTACCATAACCATTAAGTAAATTAACATAATTACTCAATTTCTGTTAAGCTTGGGAAACTCAGAAAGCCTAAGTCCCATAGCTGCTGGGCTGGCTGCCCTTGGCATTGCCACATCACTAGCCACTGTGTAGCATCACTTGATCTGCAAACAACTTCAGCCACCCTGAGTTCCACGGTTCTGATGGGAGGAAGAGACTACCCAGGTGCCATCCATCACACATTCGTTTTCCCATGGCAGGGAAGGCAATGCAAGCCCACTGCCATGCAGGAGGAGGAGCTCGCAGCATGGCTATTCTCCAAGACACCCCAGTCCATCGTTACAGCCATTTCCCACAGCTCTTGGAAAGATTTTTTAAGTCATCCTGATGCAGTCTCACACAATACATTGCTAAGAATTCTCCAAAACAAGCTCAAGTTTTTTCTTCTTAAAAGGGGGAGGGTCCAATTGTTGTGTTACAGAGATCATGAAATCAGAATATACCTGAAAACAAACAAAGATTCTTTCTGACCTTTCACTTTGATAATAACAAATCCCTGTGGTGGCATTTTAACATCCGATGTACCAAAGTGACAACAAAGTGAAGCGAGCCGTCTGAAACTAACACCCGATAGTGAGCAGCATTGTAAAACAAGATGGCTAACTATCCAGGGAAGTGCATCTTTCAAAGCTATTAATTTAAATAAGAAACAAAGAAATCCAACCATTCCTCTTCATTTGTTATCATTTGAAAAACCCTATTAAAAGAGACGAAAACATATCTCTTACCTCCGTGCAACATAATAAAAAATAGGATTCCCAGCTTTGGAAGTGCCAGCTTGGTAGAAGATGCTTAACGTTTTCAAAGCCTTGAACTCTTCTTTCTCATGTACCTGATGCCTAAAAGAAAGAGCAGAGTCGCCCAGAGGCTTTGTACAGATTGCTGAGCAGCTAAAAAACATATGCTTAATCAACAATAACATTAAAGAGTAATAAAATACTGACAAAGCAACAGGCTTTCTGGAGGGTAAAATGTCAAGGTGTTATCCTGAGTCATGAGTGCTTTCTCAGGGCTACCTAACAATCCTGCTGGACAGGACAGAGCTCAGGATTACCTTTCACTCATGACATTTTTTTTCCAGATAAAAGGTTTCTGAGGGTTTTTTTTCCCCCTTCCAAGTTTAGTTCATCAATCCTCTCTTGTTTATGGATTTTGCCTTCCTTCCCGTGTTCTTCTTTGATTTGTATTAAGTGTATCTTCACGAACAGCATGAATATTTTTATCCTGATGATTACTCAGTTTTTATTTTAAGTCCATCCTAGTCTCCCTGGTTATGAATACTCTTCACATTAAATTCCCATATGCACTGAAATAAATTTCTGAAAGAGCTTAATTTTTATATATTCTGCTGAAACTCTGTAGACTTCTTTTGTAAGTTTTAAGTTATTTATAAACCCTAGGATATGAATGAAAAATTCACATCCATTATCTCTACCAGTATCATTACCTCTTCCTATTCTCACTCAATGTGGCTTCTGTACTATTTACTAGACATACACTGGACTGGATCCTCTCATTCCAGCCTCCCTTCCCCTTGCCTCCTCTCTTTCCTCTCTCTTACTATATAACTTAACTTTGGTAAATTAACTTCTGAATGTCAGATGAGAGTGTTTTCTTTCTGTCTTCAGCACATACTATGAATAAAACAATCAACTCACAGCCTCAATGTAGCATTTGCGAAATATAAAGAGGTACATACTTAGCAAACATCAAGTATGTGTCTAACAGTGAGAATCTTTGAATTCACATATTAGATTCCTCCAAATTACATGCAAAAACAATTGTCCACAGAAACATGTGTTGTAGCAATACTGAATGTACTGTATTTTCTGGGTCTTACTCTAAAAGAGGTTAAAACCATTAACTTTTTGAAGGACTTAAAAAAAATTAGTATGATAGAATTCAGAATTTAAATTCAAATGAATCAGGTGTGAATCCAGGTCAATTAAGTTATATCTGTAGAATGTATTTTCCAACTATAATATGAAAATAATGTTATCTATATGTTGTTAAAAGTATGAAATGAAAAACATGTCAAAGAGAGCCAGCAAGAAGGCTCAGCAGCTCAAAGTACTTGTCCCTAACCCTGACAACCTGACTTGATCCCTGGGACACATGGGAGGAGAAAAGTGACTCCCATAGGTGTTCTCTGACTTCACAACACTAGCTGTAGGCAAGGGCACACCAGCACACACAAATAAACCAACAATCATATTAAAAAAAAACAAAAACAAAAACAAAAAACGCACACACAAAAGCTTATTAAAGCTAGATGATAAACTATCATTTGGTAAGACACCCTTCTTTTTTATAAGAAAATCAATATATAAGAGCAAACAAAACATGGTCATGTTAATGCAAAACAAGAATATTTAATAAGTGGTCTGGTGGTAAACTCTGTTTCTCAACTCCCCCAAAATACAATCATCTTTTCAAGTTCTGTTTTACCTGGTCATAAATTCTTCAAACTTTGAACTGGTAAGGTTAAGGCTGGACCAGTGTGTATCTGCCACAGGCTTGTGCTCCGGAGGACCCAGGTATGCAAGAAGTGTGGCCATCTTATCAAAAGGTCGTCTTCCAACAGCTTTATGATCCCTAGCAACAACAGATGATGGTTAGGAAATGATACTTCACATTAACTGGGCAGTATCACATTCCTTAGACCATCACTGGTTGCTTTTCTTTTAACTACTTATTCCTTGCTGATTTGTAAGCAGTATTGAAAATTCTCAATATCTTAGAAACATGACTGTTTCCCACCTATAAAATTTATTGTTAAATTCAATTATTTTATAGAATTATTATCTGTAACATTCTCATCTACTTTTTCCTAGGATAAAAATAGCCCATCTTGAGAAAACAGTGTTTAGGACATTGGAATATGTAACCAGATAACTGAATATTTTTAATGTATTTTTTTTTTTTTTTGGAACAGGGTCTTACTATAAGTAGCCCAGGTTGGACTCAAACTCATTATCCTCCTGCCCTGATCTCCCAAGTTCTGAGATCATATCTGTATATACTATCATACACAGCTCAAAAGTATATGTTTTTAAACATTTATTTTATTTCTTAGTTATTTATATATGTGTGTGAGGCCAGAAGTGGGTGTCAGATCGTCTGGATCACTTAACACGGGTGCTGGGAACCATGCTTGGGTCTTCTGGAAGAGCAGTGTGATGAATAAGAATGGCCCCAGAGGATCATGTATTTGAATACTTACTCACTGTTCTCTTTCTGTCCTTTTTTCCCTCCTTCTCAGCAAATAAAATGTTATCAAGACTTGTGATTATATTAAAATTACATGATGTTCAAGCTAGTTGGCAGACATGGAATTGTCAAATTACTGTTTATATTTTCATGTATGAAATATGTATCAATTTTTAAATAGCACATTTAAAAAACTCTTAGCATCAAACTGCAAATATGTATTCAAATCAAAAAAGAGAAAACAATGTTTATCTTTAAACTTTCCAGGTTATTTTGATGTCACAAGGATAAAGCACTTCTTTCTATTTTAGTGGTGCACGTCAGTTATGTCCATGCCTACTTTGATCCATTAATAATTCACACAGGAATAAAAAGTCTTGTCTTTTAAACTCCCATCTCCTAATTGTTCAGCCATACTGTTATGATCTCTTGTCTTTCTCACAAATGAGCAAACCAATATTTATTAGCAGTTAAGGAAACTCCTCAGATACAGAGATCGGAGCCCTTTACAATCCTATATAACTAAAAAGGAAATAACTCTCACAACGGATGGCATGTAATTTATGACATAAGAGGCTTTGACTAAAACAGCTAATAAAGTAATTTCAGCTACTGAATCTGTTTTCTCTTTTGTGTTTACCCTCTCTCTTTGGCATTCCCTATTTCTCTCTTGTGCCTCTTCTCTCTTTTGAGACAGGGTCTCACCATGTAACCCTGGCAAGCCTGGAACTCTCTATGGAGACCAGCCAGGCTGGCTTCAAATTCAGAGATCTACCTGCCTCTGCTTCACGAGTGCTGGGATTAAAGTGCATGGCTCCATGGCTGGCTGATTCAGTACTTTCTACATGAAGATTTATTTACATACACTTAATAGTATCACAAGCCCTACAGCAACAACAGTGCTGTTGGTTATTTAACATGACTAACATGACTTGGTTTTTGCCATATGCATGTAAACCTGCATTTTTCTTTCCAAACAACAATTCTTAAGGGAAAAAGCTGCAATGTAAAGGACTTTATTCAGGATCAATAACTTAATTCAATTAAAACTGTTTTATTTCCCCCCAAGACTGGAAAAACATACCTATTGCTGGAAAGATACTGGCCAATTTTCTCCTGATTGTTCCAAAGCAGTCGATGTAAAGCAAGCACATTGCCATCACTGATGAAGGAAAGACTATGATTTACAGCATCACTTGTGGGACAATCTGATGCTATATCAAGGAAAAACCTTAAAAAATGCAAAACCATTAGAGTTTTTAACACCAGCTATATTCAAACTTATATATGCATTACATTTATACCAAGTATAGTAATACAGTAACTGTGACTGCAAATGTGGAGGGCTTATGCCCACAATAACTGTCCCGAAACCAAACAAGAAGCACAAGGAGAAAGTTGGCTTTCCATTTCCAATCCAAGCAGGCTCCAGAAGTTGGAGAAAAACAAATTTAGATGAATAAAATCTGGAGAATGGGCTAGTATCTTACAGATGAAGAAATGAAAGCCAAGGTAAAGACCTCTCTTAAAAATCACACTGCCTGCCTGTCAGGGACAGGATTGGAATTTTGGTTCTCTTAACTCTTCATGACTAGTCACAAAGTTATTTTTCTACCTGAAAATACCACTCACTTTCCCTCCAACAGTTTATAGCTCAGCTCCAATTTCTCAGCAGAAAGAGCTGTAATGGCGACAAACTGGAAGAGCCGCTGCAGAAGGCCAGTGTACACAGCAGTGACATCAGCGAGGTTTCTACTGGTGGAAAGTGACTTCTGCACATCAACATCTTCACAAAGCACATGAACCATTTTTTGCCAGACAATCTTTCTTTAGAAGCAACTCTGGCAAATACAGTATTACCCCGAGGTTACAAATAAAGCAACAACTCAGAAAATTAAGAATTAGTTATAGAAATTCAGCAGAAAAATATTCTAGTCTTAAAGCTTCAACAGTGACTTGTTTCTTCATACACAAAATCTTCTGTTTTTGTCTTATTTGGTTTAAAGAGCATTGTTTTAAATTCAGATAAACTTCTAAACTGAAGTAACAAAAAATATTAACACCAAAACATTCTAATATATTATCTGTCTCATTTGGTTTTAGGTTTTTATCTATTTTATTATGTATGCAGTGTTCTGCCTACATACCAGAAGAGGGCACCAGATCTCATTATAGACAGTTCTGAGCTGCCATGTGGGTGTTAGGAATTGAACTCAGGACCTCTGGAAGAGCAGTCAATGCTCTTAACCTCTGAGTCATCTTTCCAAACCCCCAGTTTTAGTTTTTAATAAAAGAAATCTGAACCCATTCTGCAGCAATGCTAAAGTTAGGAAATGTCAACAGTTCATACTCACTTTCCAAAGAAGGCAACTACCGTGAAATTAAGACTATAGAGATTTTTCACAGTGTCTCTTATAGTGAAATGAGACAAAATGTGTTCTTAATCTAGAAAGGATAGGGGAAAAAATAAAATCCCACAAAGGAATTGAATGCAGACCAGATACACAGACCAGAGTGAAATGGAAGCATGGCAATTCCTGACAAATCAAGGCTGCATACCTTCGTGCCAAGTCAAAGTTGCTTTTCACAAAATCATTAAAAGGCCTCATATGCTCTTCTTTTGTGAACAAGACATGATTGGCAATGCTCTGAAGTATCTAAACAATCAAACAGGATTATGAGTAATCAGATTATTTGCTATATGAAATCTGTATATTAATATAGTCATTAAAATATAAATTTTCCATTGATATTTCTACTGGTAGTTCAAATTAATCATTCTTTATTATAAAAATTACCCTAGATATTTTGATTCTTTTCAAATAGAAACATTCTTACATATAGATGTTACACATATAAAATCTATTTTAAAGTATCTCTCTATTGCATATGCATGTGTGAGATATGTGCACATGGAGGCCAGATTTTGACACTGAATGTCTTCCCCATCACTCTCCATCCTGCCTATTGAGACAGCATCTCTCCATTGAACCTGCAGTATTTGGATTCAGTTAGTCTAGCGGCCACCTGCTCCAGGGACCATCTCTGCCTCCAGCGTGCAGGGATTCGAGCTGAATGTCACGCTCCAGACATTCACCTGCGCGCTGGGAAGCTCAACTCCAGCCCTCACGTTTGCACTGCAAACACTCTGACACAGTGACCCACGTTGTTCCCAGTCTCAAATGTTAATAACAACCACAATAAAGAAAGAAACCCTACAACCTCTATTTCTGTTTCCAACTCAAATTTTCCAGAGTAGGGACACAGAGAAACCTCACTGGAAGACAGACATTTAATTGCTAATGTATTTTCCCATCACAGGGCCCATCGGGTACATATATAAAGAATTCCTCTGCAATATAAACAAATAAAAACAAAAGGTACATAACTGAAAACCATGGGACTTTCAAAAGCAAACTAAAGACAAAGTACATTGAGTATGAAAAACTGAAAATTTAGTTGGAAGGGAAATTAAACATTGCAAGAGTATCAAAATAATTCACCTTTGACATTAACTTCAAGCCCCTCTCGATTCTAGGTGGCGGCTTTTTATCTAAAATCCCTGCTTCGTACGGCGAGACAATGGCAGGATTGATAAATCTGAGGAACATGGCACTTCCTACCGCCCCGATGCTGTTCTGAGGGAAACGCTGGCTAACCACCTGAGAACAAGGAGTTGAGACTTGAGTAGACAGTTGGCATTGAAATAAAGAAGTGGAAACAAAAGCTTGAAGGTCAAACTCTGCACAAAACATGAACTGTCAACCTTATCAATGTCCTGTTTTTAACTTTTTTTTTCTCCCCAAACACCAGAAAATAACATTTATCCTTAACTGTAATCATGGGTGATTTTTAAGACACAAATAAATAACTCAAAGAGAAGAAAAACCTCCTCATAGAAGGAGAGACCTGAAAAAAGATGATTTATAATCATTATGGGCAACAAAAGTAGACTCAGTTTCACACAAAGATTGATGTATTTCCTAAGATCAACAGACATGAAAGTGCAGCTGACTTTTAGCAGGCCCTGAAATCCATGTCTCTAGCAGCACACCTCCTGCACACACTACACCTAACAGGAAGTAGTTGTCCTCTGTACACCTGTTAAAGTAGACATTTAGTACAGCTTACCATATCCATCTTTTCTTAGATTTCTACTGAGTGAAAAAACTTACTTACAAGTCATGTTCCTGCCAGTCAACTTTCCTTCAGGAGCATGTTTCCTAATATAAGGACCTACCTATTATTTACACCACTGGAAAAACAGGAACTCTTGGGTACCTACAAGAAAAAAGAATCCCACCAGAAGACAGAACCCCCATGTCTATACCAATTTGTTCTTCGGCCAAATAAGTAAAAAAGAAAGTTTCAGGGCTTAGGAAATAGCCCTGAAATAGTCCCACCCCAAGAGCCCATTCTGAAAAGTAATACAAAGCCTTTGTAAATGGACCTATCCTCTACAGAAAACATTCTGCACAGAATATAAAGCAGGCAGCCGGACTGGGAAAAACGTCATAGAATTGGCTGACCTTCATCTCTTCCTAATAACTCCCACTTTAAGCCAACACATGGAAAAGGAATTGTTCTAGAATTGAATTTTTATATGTATCATAGAAAAACTTTATTTTTATTATTTATTTATTTGTGTATTTTTCGAGACAGGGTTTCTCAGTGTCACCCTGGCTGACCTGGATCTAGCTCTGTAAACCAAGCTGGCCTTGAGTTCATAGAGATCCACCTGCCTCTGCCTCTTAAGTTCTAGGATTGAAGGCATATGCAGCCACCACCTGCCATATTTCTTTTTTAAAAAACCACACAGGATACTTTAATCTCAAAAGCTATTCTAGCTTGACATTACTAACTGTGATGGTGGAGGCCTAGCATTCACAATTCTGGGAATGTAAAGATAAACCTGTATCTGAGAGGCTCTTGGGGTGGGAAAATGAGAAAATGGGGTTTATGTGTAGAATTATATAACACTTGTCTTTACCAGGTGCCAGTACTTGTCATTAATTCAAAGGCTTGACTTGAAATTAACTCTGGCTATTTCACATCACTCTGACCCATTTTGTGCTTTGTGTGATCTTTATTTATTTAAATTATTACTTCATTGTTTCATATGCACATGGACATTTTGCCTGCATATAAGTCTATACACCACATACATGCCTGATGCCCACTGAGGCCAGAAGAGGGCATCAGATCTCCTGGAATTGACATTACAGATGGTGCTGGGAATTGAACCTGATTCTCTGGAAAAGCAGCCAGTGCTCTTAATCACTAAGTCATCTTTCCAGGCCTAGGGTCTGTATCTTAAATGTGTCCTTACCCATGGCCTGTAATCTCAAAATAATTTTCTATCACTTCTGATTCCAGAAAATGATTTTCTGGGGTGGTCGTAGGAACTGGCAGCAGAGCTGAACGTGAGTTGTTTTCCCTTTTCCTTACACTAACACTCAAGGAGCTTCTCTGGGTTCCAGTTCTTTGGTGTGCTTACAGCACACAAGGAGAACTGCCTTAGGAATTCAGGGAAACTGGAAAGTTGGCTAAATATAGATGTCTTTTGTATCTGAAATGTAGTTCTAGATACAGAATGATGATCCAAGTGTCCTTCCTCTTTAGAATAGAACTGAACCTTTGGGAACTAGAACCTCAAATCTAATAAAAAGAAAGCAAAGACAAAATTCATCACATCATTTCAGAATGTGAAAAGACAAATACTGACACTGAGTTCTTTTAGAATTTCCAAATTTTAATTAAAAGAGACAAAATCATCAATAAACTAACAAGACCATAAAGTATTTGGGGAGCAAACCATTAAGAAGAAAGAAGACTAAAACTCCCTTTTGGGGATCCAGGCTCCCAGTCTACCAAATACTTAAGAGTCAATTTTAAGCAGGTTTTTTAAAAAATAGTAATATTTTCAGTTTAACCCATTAAAACCCTGATATAGTTTTAAGAGGCCCAACATCGTAGTTTGCTTAAAAGAGCTAGTAGGTTTATTAAACATCCATGGAAGTATCAATAATGGCTGCCCACAGACAGCCTTTAAATGTATGTCTGAGAGTGGCTGGTTAAGAGGTTGGGTATGGTGTATACATACAATCCCAGAAGGAAGGAGGCTGAGGCAAGAGTACTGCCATGAGTTCAGGCCAGCCTAGGTTATGACGTAAGACCTGCTCCAAAAACACGAAAACAAAAAAGGTAGCTACTGGCTGGTTTTCTCTAGGAAAAAGAGCTTACAAAGTACAACTTACATTGAGTCCTGGTTTATATTTGAAATTACTCAGCTTCTGAACTTAAGGAAAGTCTGAATTAATTATTTCCCAAGAAAATATTATAAAACTATTGAAAAACTATTTCAACTTTTAACCATTTTCCACATCTTTAAAAATAATCCATGTCAAAACTTCATGTTTCTGGAAAAGTTTCATATATCATAAAATATGTATCTCTTTGATAGTGGTATCTATATTTTTTTAACTACAACCTGACAAATTTCATACTAATAGGGATACTGTATAAAAAGTTTCCTGAACCAATTTATAAATTTTTCTCACTTAACATCAATGTAATTTTATCCAACACTACATAGTCAAGCTTTGTTTTTGTTTTGCTTTCTAAGACAGGGTTTCTCTGCGTAGCCCTGGCAGTCCTGGAACTCCCTCTGTAGATCCGGTTGGCCTCAAACTCAGAGATCCACCTGCCTCTGCTTCAAGAGTGCTGGGATTAAAGGTGTGCGCCACCATGCCCAGCATGTTGTTCTTTATTTCTAAATCTATAAAAATCTAATTTGGATCCAAATGATATTCTATATGTAAGGTCAATGCTGGGTGAGACAAATGATCAGCTAATACCCTCTCTACTTCCCTTGGTAAAGCTGAACTACAAAAATCAGATAATCAATTACACATCAGCAGAGTATCACCAGCTACAGATGAAATCCTGAGAAGTCTGCATTAGGCAGGCAACTTCCCCATTAATCTAAGTATATACTATGATAAGTATAACAAACTGAATCAACTGTAATGTGTCAACATAGCTAAACACCAGAAACTGAAACCTTCTTTCTTATTTCATTTATTACAAAGAAAGTCAGCTTTTTTTTTTAAAAAAAAATTAGATTCTGTTAGACAACTTAAAAAATGACATTCTAAATTTTACGATGACTAGCATGACTCACACTATAGAATCTGTACTGAAGTACTGCCAATTAGACCCCCTTATTTCTTTGAAGACTATAACCTGTGCTGAGAAATACATTCCAAAAATACAGTGTTACCAGAAAATATATATATGTATGAATATCATATATATATATATATATATATATATATATATATATATATACTAGAAAAAATGGCAAGGAATAACTTTATATAAAACCGTAATAAATGTTAGGAAAACAATAAAACATGCTCCAGAGAAACACAGAAAGCCTGGCTTTAATTATGTTATGTTACACAATGTCATTAGTATAACATTAAATAAGAATGTTAGAAACAGCAAATTAATTTCCATAGTGATGATGTATAATGTTAAACCCACAAACGCTGAAAATTAGAAGGCTGAAGCATTAGAGGAAAATGTTTTAAGCAGGAAAGCCATCCAATCCAATCCATTTGTTTATAGATGATCAATTTTACTTAATATACTCAAAAAGAAAATTCTGAATGGACATAATAAAAGTATGAGTCTCTAAAGTTTAATTTAGTTCTGAATTTTAAATGCAACTATAAATGCAAAGCTTTATTATATGTAAAGATAAAGTAAGAAATGAAAGATGAAATCAGACAAACATGACTTTAAATTATTCTTTTGTAATAAAACTACTTCCAACTTGAAAAAGTTTTCTTTACATCATTCTCTATAATCATTTGGATTAAGTGAACAAGACAGGACTAAACTGAATAAGGGTAAATAACATTCACAGATGATGTCATTTTTAAAATGAATGCAAGTTATACTGTGAACAAATGATATTCATAGGAAGAAAATAATTATGGTGACCATAACTTTCTTCCTTTTACAGGAAGACAAAGTCAGAAGCAGGCAATATATTCAAGTCATGTTTGCACAATGAGGTGCTTCTGTATAAACATGACCTCACTGAGTTTTCTCTTCACTGAAGTAACAATGCATATTTTTCTCTGAAGTAACTTCAGCATTAAAATTTCTATAATCTAAGCACAAATGTCTAAATCATGGGTGGCTGAGACCACCAAGATAAAAATATAAAGAATAAAAATTAAAATTTAGCAACTTTTAAATTAGATTTAGAAAGTGATGCTTGTTTTTGGTAGCTCTAGCATGTACAAATCCTGAGTTTGATGTTTAGCTCCAGAGGGGGAAAAAAGACACATTCCCACCCACAATATATTTCTTAAGAAATGCTTTTGTTTCTAGAAAAAGAAACCAGTCACATGACCTGCAAACAGGAAGCAAGAACGAAGACAGTCAGCATCCCCTAAGGCCTTGAAATTAAGTTTCTTTTGCATTCATTTATAATTTTAAAATAACAATAAAATTAGATTAAGGGTATTCAGTGTAATAAATGCACACAAAATGCCTTTGGGATAAATCAAACCAAAGGAACACAGAGCCTGTTTCAGTGTAACTTAATTCCAGGGTTAATTGGAATGAGAGCTATCTTGTGCCAGAATTAGTAGAATGATTTCACAGTGAAGGTCAAACAGCTCAAGTGAAGATGTTCTTAACAAACAGCAAAGATTCGGGTTTGCTCCCAAAGAAACAGCTAATAAAAAGTTCTCCAAACTTACTGATTTTTTGTTTTCCTTTTTTTCTTTTACTGTAGCTTTATTCAGTAGGGAGTGGCAAGTTGCCTACAGAACAGAGATGAGCACAAACAAGTCACAGCACCGACTACATACAGCAACAAAAACAATGTTGGCTTGTACACGAAATTACATGGTAAAATGGACCACAAATGGAACCAACAGAAAAGTCGGAATCAACTGCATTTTGAGGGATGAAGTTTAATCCTGGACTTTAATTTTATTCCACTTTTAAGCCAAGCACGAAATAAACAGCAAGCAATGTTGAGACCCAATCATGTCTACTATTTCTGGCTATGAGTCACGGAAAAGCTGTCCTCAAGCCAATCTGAGGAATATTCACATTTGAGTCAATTCCTAGCTTTTGATAAGTTTTACATAAAATGTTTGTTATGAAGTAGACCACACACTGAAATGTTTTGTGTCTACATTAATTTTTCTGATATATAAAATACTTCTCTGTGTATCCTTCAATTGACTTAAAAGTTATTTTTCCAATACCTAGCAGTTAATTACGATTTTATTAAATAAAAATTAAATGGCTAGCTATGCGGCAAACAACTTTTAGAGAGACTGTAAGGAGTGCTGTTACAATCTCACATCTTCCAGTGTCTGCAGAGCACTCCCTGAAATGGTGCTACTCACTTTAAAAAAGCTGCTATATTTGGGAAAAGAATGTTAGCATATCTAGGGGAAAAAGTTCATTAATATCAAAGTTAAGAAATTGCAGATAATATAGAATCAAACTGAAACCTGATTAAAATTTTACTTATTATATATGACCAATTATCAGAATGCCCTTCCCATCCAAAAAACAAAAGCAATTCATGCAAACCCATACAGATGTCCAGTTTTATCACTTAGAACACTATCTTCCAAAGATTTCTTCCAAAATTTAGACTTCTGATTAGAGTATGCCAGTTATTATATTTTTAATATTTTAAAAACCTCAATAAGAGCCAGTTGTGGTGATAAATACCTATAATCCCAGCCTTTGGGAGGTGCAAGTAGGAGAACCAAGAGTTCAAGGCCAGCTTGGGCTACAAAAGATATCTTCTCAAAACAACAAAATTCAACTATAACATAAATTCTTTGATCTAGACACATGGTATCTTATTCTAATAGTTCTAAGGCACAAAAAAACTAAAACCCATAATAACTTGGGCATAAAGTCAATTTTAAATCCATCCATCCATCCATCCATTCATCCAAATAGCTCCTATATATCTAGATGTCAACAGCATCCTAGCCGAAGGAGGCAGAGGTTTGTAAAACAACAGAAAGTCTCATATCAGGGAACTTTGCTGCAGGCTTTAAGGGTATTTTCAAAAATAAAACCATGTAAATCTGCAGGTTTTTTTTTTTCAGCCAAGATATGTAACTACCATTTATAGCTTTAACAAACATATATAAACTCATTTGGAGAAGAAGCTTTACTAGGAAAGATGTTTACTTAAAAATCACAGTAGCTATTTCCTAATTTTCTTACCAGAACTGAATATCCACTCAAAGAAATATTTTCTCTTTGTTCCAAATTTATCAGAAGGAAAAGAAATAGCATGTAATAAAAATAGCTTAATCATTGATTAAAAAATATTTTAATTATGTCTGTAGAACATTTATTTACACTTAGCCACTATTCCTATATAGTATTAACCATCTTTTCTTAATAAAGAAAGCATGTAAATAGAGCTGATTACAAGATTAAAAAAAAAAAAAAAAGGCTTAAAGACCAAAATCTGAACTCCACGAAAAATTAGTTGGCAATATACTCACTTAGCTTTCAAATTTTCCTCAGTAGATTCCCCAAAGCAGGAGCTATGTTTACTAAGAAAAAGAAAATGGGTTCCCATCCTTCCCAGCAAAGCATAAAAGTACAAGGGTACCATTATGTCACTGCCAAAGTTACAAGGGTAAGTAAAAGCCCCAAGAGAAAAAAAAAATGAATAAAAACAAAAGCTAACAAAAAGGAAAGCTAAGTTAAGAAGAAGACTCAATGAAAAACCATACTGAGTCTAAAGCTTTTTTATTCTATCTTTGATTAGTCACTGTAAATTTTGCTTATTAAGAACAAAATCTTATAACAAAAACTTTGCTCCATAATAGTCTGTATTAAGTTATCCATTACAAAATAATGCCCAATGTAACCTTTGCACTGTGTTGTCCTGAGAAGCTTTAATATGGTAATGGTTAAAGCAATGCACAGCACAGCACACAGTGGTGCTAAGTCACCACTCAGGACTTCACTGTCTTCGCCGTTTCTCTCTGTGCCTAACTAGGAAGGCTGGCAAGAAGCCTGCTTATTTAGGTAGTAGGAATGAGAAATTTATTTCTTTATGAAATATTTCCTGCATGCTTACTAAGTGTCAAGTCCTATTTTTACATTACAGTAGCATGCTCGCAAACTGGTATCCAAGTTTGTTGATGATACTAACACATTTTTCATTATGTGGACAGTCACATGAAGAGTTCTATTAAATTTTAGTAGGACAGACCATGTAATCAGGTACATTTCTCACTCGTTTTCAACCAACTATAGCAAAACCACTATCATTTCAGAAGCCCATTTTCTTTCTGAAAACCAAGAAGGTGACTCAGACTTTTAAATGCATGCTGTGTCCTGTCAGCCTCATTTTACAAACAGGAAAACAATGGAATTAAATTGAAAGAGAAATCCAAGGGTAAAGTTCAAATAGTCAACACATGAAGCTTCATGTTGTAACTAACCACTCTCTAACCTCACACTTACCTAGCTGAATAAACTATGTGGAGCTTCCCTAAGCTTCCTAGAGCTTTTTGAAATGGCAGTGAAGTCATAACACACCCAGAAACCCAGTGCTAAGTGTACTTTATCATATATCTATATATGCAAGTTTTCTTTTTATAGACATAGCAGATACATCTTTTAAAATAGCAATGGGGGAAAATTCACACAGCAGCCTCACCCCGCTTTTTAAAATGGTGATTTCACTGATGATGTTAATGTCTCTAAGCAACTGAGGCTGCAAGCCAAAAAAAAAAAAAAGAGGTTGGGATGACACTGCAAAATCAGAGAAATACATAGGTTTTGGTAAATGTGGAAATTCTTTCCCTATTTGCACCGTTATTCTGAACCCCAGGCCCTACGGTATTATTTTCCTTTTTGAGAAGTTAATATAGATTTATAGGCTCTCCTTTGAACTAACTAAACTATTATTAAAACTGCATATGAAGTCAAAACCAGAAGCTACAGGCCTTTTTCTCTTAGCATGGAAGGAATTGCTGTGGACATCTGAACTCAGGGGTACTACTTGCTGTGACAGTATTAGGAAGTCTGTTAGCTATTAGATGATGATGGAATATACCTTACAAATAGCTTTCTACATAAAATACACAGTGCAATTGATTTGTCCTGAGAAAACAAGACACAAAACCAATGATCTCTTAAAGCAGAAACCAAAATTACAGATCAAGCCATTTACAGTGCAAAAAACAATGAACTTGCCCCAAGTGTGAAAGATCCTGTAAGTAATTTAGGATAAAGATAAGCAAAATTTCCTTTCAGTACACTCACTGACTTTTAAGCAGCTTTCTGTGAGACCAAAACAAGAACAAGAACAATACACCTTGCAAGTTAATGGAAGACCAAAACAGGAAAACTACTGCCCTTGCAGGTTAAGGTTCTGTTTGCAGCTAAGACAGTTAAGAATAACTTCCTGTTTGTCCTGTGTTGGTTTGACCCGTCTGCACAGATGTGCTTGATCACATGCGGGTACATGGGCAGGAAATCTGTCAGGATGGATGTTTGCCCCTGACTGGATGTAGACAGAAGGCACACAGGGATGAAGTACATCAGGATATATGCTTGCCCCTGATTGGAGCTGATAGGAAATACAGTGGTCTTACGGGTGTGCCTTTGTAAGTCATGGCAAAATGTGACTTGTGGCCATTTCCTGGGAACCCTGGAATGGACCTGGCCAGAGTCCATCAACTTGACCAGTGTTTAATTAAAGCTTGCTTCAAATCTGGCTCAAAATTGTGTGTGTGTGTGGTTTTATTCTCAACCAGTAGGATTACCACTTTTATCATAAGGAAAATTAATTTACTTTCCTTAAAGTTCTTTAAATATCTCTGAAGAAAATGTGAGGTTTCTTTCAAGGCCAACCTAATAATAGTTCTTTACAATTTTATTTTGTTTATTTGATCTTATGTGTATGAGTTACATGTGTATGTACCACATACATGCCCGGTGCCTGAGGAGGTCAAAAAAGGGCACTGGATCCCCTGCAATTGTAGTTACAGACAGTTGTGAGCCACCATGTGGATGCTGGGAACCAAACCTAGGTCCTCGGGAAGAGTAGCCAGTGCTCTTAACTGCTGAGCCATCTCTCCAGCCCCATATTATATTATGTATCCAGATGACAGCCAGCAGCTGACTGGGCACAACGTGAGTATTCCTCTTAATTTGCTTTGGATTGAGAGTGCAATCTCGAACTTTTAGCATACCTGGTATAAGCAATGGCAGACACTTCGAAGCTGAGAGGGGAATTCTGAGGAGGAACTGATGATGGCATGGAAGAACTTTTCTGTCATCTGAAGGAGGTTCCTCTGGTTTTCCTCAAGGCTCTCAGAAGGTTCTAACCTGTAACAAAGGAAAGGTAAAATCAAAATGTGACTGGTGAAACAAAATCACTCCTCACAAGACTTTTTGATCCTGACTGAAACAACAAATTTGTTTTGAAAAGAAAAAAGGAAGAAAGAAAGAGGAGGAGAAGGAAGAGGAGGAGGAAGAGCAGCAGCAGCAGCTGTAAGGTTTGGTGGCTCACATTAATTTCAGTATTCATAAGGCTGAAACAGGTGACTGCCATGAGTTTGAAGCCAGCCTGAACTACACAGTGAGTTTAGGCCCCCACAGGCTACAAACTGAAAACTAACAAACCCCAGATGGAAAATTCCAATACTCAGAAGGTACAGGCAGGAGGACCAAAAGATGAAGGTCAGTCTTAGTTTTGTAGCAAGTTGAGGCAAGCATGGGCTACAGGAGACCTAGTAAAAAACAAACAAAACAACAATAGCCACAACAATTTTGAGACAACCAGAAATTCAACAAAAGTCAGCCTTAGATATTAGAGAACATTTTTGTGGGTATATAAATACTGGTGCTTTATATATTTTTTTTTAAGTGTGTGTGTGTGTGTGTGTGTGTGTGTGTGTGTACCTACACTGTGTAGTTCACAGGACAACTGGTAGAAGTCATGTCTCTCCACTATGTAGGACCTTTGGCTAGAACTATAGTCATTAAGAACAGGAGTAGGCACCTTTACCACAGCCCTATGTTTTTGATTGTGTTCATTTTTGTTGGTTTATTTGGAGACAGGATCTTACAGTGTAGCCCTGGCTGACCTAGGACTCAATATGCAGACCAGGGTAGTTTTAAACTCACAGAGTTCACTGGCCTCTGCCTCCTGAGTACTAGGACTAAAGGCGTGCATTACCACACTGGCCAATACATATACCTACAAATGGTGACTTTTTAAAATCTTCACTAATAATAATAATAATAATAATAATAATAATAAAACGCAACTTTCATCTTTCCCTCTACATCAGGTTTCTGAGATTATCTATATTCATGCAGGAAGATTAGATGTATTCATTTTGAGCATAAAAATATATTGTATTGTATATAGTGACTTATCTGCTCTGCTAATGAATCTTTTAAAATTTCATTTTTGTTAGGTATAGTAACTCATGCCTATAATGCTAGCACTTGAGAAGTGGAGGCAAAAGGATCAGGAGTACAAGGCCAGCTTTAACTGCAGAGGAGTCTCAGGATAGCCTGGGCTACATGAAGACTGTCCAAAAACTTTTTTTCTGTACACTTTTACAGATACCACTTCAGTGAACATTGTTGTACATACACAAGAGTTCCACTAGAGCAATTAACAAACACTGGCATTTCTTGGTAGCTAAACATATGCAAATTTAACTTTTAGTAACATCTCTACGACAGTGCTTAAGAATTCCTATTCCCTCCAATTCTCACATATTTGGTGTATAAGTTGAATATCATTCATGCAAAATGTTTCGACAAAAAGTGTTTCATATTTTTTTCTGATTTTGTATTTCTCCAAAAAAACGTTACCAGTTAAACAGCCATAAGTCTAAATGTTCCAAAATCTGAAACTTTTTGAGTGCCAATTATATGTTTAAAAAGTTTTAGCTTTTGGAGCCTTTTTGACTTTGGGATGTTCAACTTTAGCAGGTCGGACCCAGTACTGCAGTTTGAAAGGTTATTAGAGGCCCACAGTGGTCAAAATGCAGAGACTAAGTAACTGAATGTGGGCTGCCCAGCCCCAAATGGGCCATCTGTAACACAAACCCTATCCTTAAGGCTCAGGGAACACCAAGAAAGAGAAGGACTGGAAGACTAAAAGGCCTGAGGACCTGGTCAACTACTGCATGATAGTGTCTTTTCGACAGGACAGGGATATTGTTCCCATGAACTCTCAGGCTGACTGCATGAACCATACAGAGACCACATGAGTAGACATCCTATGTGGACAGAGGAAAATATTCACAAGGCCCCACCCCTAGAGGAAGAGCTACAATCAATGGCCGCTGAAGGAGAGAGAACCAGATTTTTCCTCCTGACACTGTTACTTTAAAAATGAGACCCTAATCCTAAGTGATCAGCCTTAAACACATACAAACAAGGGTAACATTAATTGGATTCAGTAGCATATGTGTATATAAACACACATATACACATATACACATATATCCACACACAGACATAACAAAATAATTCCAGAAGGTATCCTGAATTCAAGAGGAAGTAGTGGGGGGAACACAGAAAGAGCCGGAAGGAGAAGTGAAAATAATGCAAATACAGTGAAATCATCACTTATGAAATCCTCCAATAAGTGAAAGACTAAAGTGAGAGAACTATGCCTCATAAAACTCACTACTAAAAGACCAGCTTGCATTAATCCAGAAGGTACCATGCAAGCTTCTACAAAGGAAGGAAGAACCAACAGTCCTAGCCAGCAACATTTCACAGGGATTCTGGGGCTCCATTTCAAGTCCTCATGCCTGCACTGGAAGCCCTTAGACTGAGCTATCTCCCCATTCTCCTTCCCTCTAATTCCTTAAAGTGGGAGTTTAGACTATCAATTTTAGATCTTCCTCCCCTTACAGCTCTTTCTAAGTTCCTCTTCACCATCTCCATCATCTCGGGAAGGTGTGTTTTCATTTCATTTCAGTTTGAACTTTCTACTAGTGCATCTTCAGCTCATGGGCCCATTCTTCTGCTGCACCTACTAATCAGCCCATTACCATTATTCTTCCTCTGTTACACGGTGGTTTTCTTTTCTTTTCTTTTTTTTTTTTTTAGCATCTTTTGCTTTTGTATTCCTTGTTAGCTTTCCTGCTCACTGCTTGTATTAGTCACTGGTTCTTTCATGTTTTCCATGTCTGTCCGTCCGTCCCCCCACATCCACTGGAGCTCTCAGCATAATAACTATGGTTATTTATAAATAGTCAGTGTAAAAATTCCAAAATTCCCATCACATCCAAGTCTGGTTCTGATGCCTGACAAGGAACTGAGGTGAACAGGCTTTCAGTGTAAGGCTTTGATGCACCTGGGAGTTAGTTACGTTGAATGTTTGCTGGAGCTGTGGATGTCCATTTCCTCTAGAGTCCTTGTTTTCAGGTTTCCCTGGAAACTTCTACACTCGAGTCTATGCTGCAGCTATAATTCAGTGTTGATATACTGGAGCCCAGTGGACATAATGCAAGTAACATGGAGGGAGCAACCGTGACAAAGAGGACACACCTGGTGGGATCCACTTCGAAGCTAACATGCTGCCAATCTGAAGATGTGATCACAATTCGTAACAGAGGATCTAAGAGCTTTTGTAGGTAAGTAGCACCATATACCTAAAGAAACACACAATTAGGCACAGATCCATACAGCCTGCATTAAAAAGGTAGTCAACCCAACACATCCTGTAAAGAATTTCTTCTCAACACCCCAGTGCACACAGACACACAAAGTGAGTGATACACACCTTAAAGCAGAATGTCATTATCTTACTGGCCAAGCTGTTGCCTCGGAAAAGAGTCTGCATGGAGTCTGCCAATTCTACTTCCTTAGAAAACATGTTCCAGAGCAGCTGGTAGAGTAAGTGCCGAGAATCAAACAGAGTAACCAGAACACGAGCCAGTTCATCCTGGTAACAACAACAACAACAACAAACAAACAAACAAAAAATGTGTTTGTGTGAACAATTTTACTTTTTTCTTAGGTGGATTTAAAATTTTGAAAAAGGTTAGAAAAGAGGCAAATTTAAAGTTCACAATCACCCATTAAATCAAGGTAAATAATAACTAATTATTCCTAAGATTTAAATTTGTCTGATAGGTGACTTTTTAAATGTGTTTATAACAGTTGTTAACACCAAGGATTAACTGGAGGAAAGATTAGAGATTGAGGCTTTACCAAAAGACAGAAGAAAGACTTTAGGATTTGGCTCAAATTACATCATGAAAGTAAGAGTTCACTTTGGTGCCAGGCAGTGGTGGCGCATGCCTTTAATCCCAGCACTCAGGAGGCAGAGCCAAGCAGATCTCTGTGAGTTCGAGGACAGCCTGGTCTACAGGGTTAGGGTATGAGTTCCACAGAATGTTTTCTTAGAACTGATTAAATACGTTACAGCCAAGGCAGAGAAGCAACAAAAATGCACTAAACACTAAAGGACTGTTTAAAAATCAGAAAGGAGGGGTGCAGCCTCAGCTAGATATTCAATCCCCAAATTCTGTTAAATTTACACACAACCAAAGAGTTAGGATTAAAGTTAACCTTTCTATTATTTGTGCCATAACCCTTTTGTTCCTTACAGGAGAAAGAGAGAATGTGTGTGTTTGTTTGTACTGGGTGGTTTTGTGTGTCAATCTGACACAAGCTATAGAATTATCAGAGGAAGGAGTCTCAGCTGAGGAAAGGCCTCCTTGAGATCCGGCTGTAAGACATTTTCTCAGTTAGTGATCAATGGGAGAGAACCAAGCGCATGCAAGGTGGGGCCATCCCTGGGCTGCTGGTCCTGGGTTCTAAAAAAGCAGGCTGAGCAAGCCATGGGAAGCAAGGCAGTAAGCAGCTCCCCTCCATGGCCTCTGCATCAGCTCCTGCCTCCAGGTTCCTGCCCTGTTTGAGTTCCTGTCCTGACTTCCTTCAGCGATGAATAGCAATGCTGAAATGTGAGCCTAATAAACCCTTTCCGCCCCAACTTGCCTTTTGGTCATGGTGTTTGGTTGCAGCATTAGAAATCCTAGCTAAGACAATGTTTCATACAATTGATAAAATTGTAATGCACTGTTAAACCCAACATTAAGAAGAGACAGAGTAGTGATATCTATGATAAAAAGAACCCTCAACCTTCACACACCAGAGCCCTCTCCTCAGCCTGACCTGGTCCCAGGATTAAAAGAACAAGACACTGGAGTAAGGGAAAGGTTGAATAATCCTAACCACAAATACCCCAGGAGCCAGAGAATTATACTCAGTGTCTGCTTTATTTCTTATAGTTATACAATCCTTCTTTGACATAATATACAAACCGTACCCTCCATTATGAAATTAAGTAAAAGGACAAGACTTTAGGGACTAATCAGAAGTCGTTGGGCTTGGGATACAGCTTGATGGTGGAGGGCTTATCTAGCACCACCAGGTACTGCTTCAATTCCAACACAACAGAAAGGAGAGACAGCCGCAGCTGCTGCTTTCAGGGCCATGTGAAATGGTGTTCTACTCTCCTTTCTTCTCCTAAGTCCTGGAAATTCTAGAAAACTGAATTTTAACATATGTATTTTTACATAATCAAATTACTTTTTAATACTTTAATTTTTTGTTCACTTTTAGATAAAGTTCTGACAAATGTGATAGAACATACTTGTAAACCCAGTACCCAGGAAGTGGAGGCAGAAAGATTAAAAACTTGAGCCCAGGCCAAATTACATAAGAGTCCCAAGCAAAGCAAAAGAAAACAACAACAACAACAAAACCATTGTTAGTAGGGACCCATGCTTCCTCAGAAGCTCTAACTGATACGGATGATCCTGAGTTGTTTGCTTATTTGTTTTGTTTTTAAAAAGAGGTCCAAGCTGTATCGATATCTTGTCTTAAAAAAAGAAACAGAAAGAAAGGGAGTGGGAATGGGGAGTCAAGAGTGTAGATCATCTCGGGAGTCAAACAACCCTTTCACAGAGGTCGAATATCAGATACTTACATTTAGTTTTTTTTTTGTTTTGTTTTTTGTTTTTGTTTTCAAGACAGGGTTTCTCTGCATAGCTTTGCGCCTTTCCTGGAGCTTACTTGGTAGCCCAGGCTGGCCTTGAACTCACAGAGATTCGCCTGGCTCTGCCTCCCGAGTGCTGGGATTAAAGGCGTGAGCCACCACCACCCGGCTAGATACTTACATTTAGATTCATAACAGTAGCAAAATTACAGTTATGAAGTAGTAGCAACAAAAATAATTTTATGGTTGGGGTACCCACAACACAAGGAACTGTATTAAGCAACATTAGGAAGGTAGAGACCCACTGGTGTATATGATCAAGAGACATTTTTTTTATATGTATGAAATTGTCAAAGAACAAAAGTAATTTAAAGGGATGGAGAGATGGATCAGCAGTTGAGAGCATTGGCTGCTGCTCCAGAGGACCTGGGTTTAATTCCCAGCACCAACATGCAGCTTATAACCACTTTAATTGCAGTTTCAGGGAATCCAACAGCCTCTTCTGGTCTCTTTGGGCACTGCATACACACACAGTGCACAAACACACATGTAGGCAAAACACCTATACATACAATATAAAAATAAATAAAATCTCAAAAACATTTAAGTAATTGAGGTCAAGGATGGTAGTATATGCCTTTAACCCCTGCAATGGGAAAGCAGAGTATCTTTATGTGTTTGAGGCTATATCCTGGTTCTACACAGTGAATTCCAAGCCAGCCACAGCTACACAAAGAAATCCTATCTCCAAAAAAGTAAATAAATAAAAAGTATATTAAGCCATTTAATATAAAGCTCAAATATTTACTGCAAGAAAACAAAATGAATCTAAACTTCTTTGGCTCAAATCAACTTTTGTTTTCTTGTGTTAAGGATTAAGAATAGGGTCTCAGACATGCTAAATAAGAACTCTACCACTAGGCAACATCACCAGACCTTGATTCTTTATTAAGAAAACTACTGGGGCTGGAGAGATGGCTCTACAGTTAAGAGCACTAGCTGCTCTTCCAGAGGTCCAGAGTTCAATTTCCAGTAACCACATGGAGGCTCACAACCATCTGTAATGAGATCTGGTGCCCTCTTCTGGCATGCAGGCATATATGCAGACAGAACACTGTATATGTAATAAATAAGTTTTTTTAAAAACTTATTTTTTAATTACTAAAAAAAATTCAGAATATTTATGATACATAGGAAGATGTGTGACATAATTTTAGGCTTGAAAAAGATAATTTAGGAGTGTTGTTAATCAATGGATATAAATTGTAATTCTAAGTAAGCCAGATGTGAAGCTGCATGCCTGAGTGAATTTCAGGCCAGCCAGAGCCACAAGGTGAGGCCTCTTTCATCTTTAAAAAAAAAAAATCTGATAAGAGGCTAGAGCCCATGTTACGATAGAGCTCATGTCTTACTAAAATCCAACTGAATCAAATCAAAACAACCAGAGAAGCACCTCAGAAAGCAGCGGCGGCGGTGGCGGCGGTGGCAAGGATGCCTTAGGGCAGAAACGGTTAGCACATCTGAGGAACAGAAGTGCTGAGAGTGCAGAGGGACAACCTTAGATGGAGGCCGAGATAAGGCCGGCCCAGATTAGGTACAGGATTAGAAGGCAGAGAAGAGAATTTGAGTTTTATTTCCGGGGATAAGAAACATGATCATGGGGCTGGAGAGATGGCTCAGAGGTTAAGAGCACTGACTGTTCTTCCAGAGGTCCTGAGTTCAATTCCCAGCACCCACATGGTGGCTCACAACCATCTGTAATGAGATCTGGTGCCCTCTTCTGTGTCTGTAATAAGCAAATAAGTAAATCTTTAAAAAAAAAAATTGCTGGGCAGTGGTGGCGCACGCCTTTAATCCCAGCACTTGAGAGGCAGAGGCAGGGGGATCTCTGTGAGTTCGAGGCCAGCCTGGGCTACCAAGTGGGTTCCAGGAAAGGCGCAAAGCTACACAGAAAAACCCTGTCTCGAAAAGCCACACACACACACACACACACACACACACACACACACACACACACAAAAAAAAAAAAAAAAGAATGTGAATAAAGTACATCATACGATAAATAAAAAAAAAAACATGATCATTAAGCCTCTGTTTTCAATGTTAGGTGTTTTTAAATGTGTATTTTAATTTATGTGTACATGGGTACATGTGTGCGAGAGTGTCCATGGAGGCCAGAAAGGGATATCAGATCTCTTGGAGCTAGTCGGCATGTGTTTATTAGCTGTCCAATGGATGCTGGGACCTGAACTCCAGTTCCTTCACAGAGCAGCAAGCACTCTTAGCCACCAAAACACCTCTCCAGGCCCTCCTATGGGTAGGGTTTCTTGGGTTGTGTTGTTAATTTTATGGGAGTGGTTGTTTTGCCTAATGAGGCCAGAAGAGGGCACCCAATCTCCTGGGACTGGAGTTGCAAGTTGTGAGCTGGGAATCCAGCCCAGGTCTTTTAGAAACACAGCCAATGTTCTTAACTGCTGAGCCATCTTTCCAGTTTCTCACCCTCCCATCACAGCTTTTAAGCAAAAACTAAGAATACCTTAGTAATTACAAGTTACTCTTACTAAAGTCATTTTTTTGTAAAATAAAACACATGGCTTTAAATAAAGAGAGGGCCTCCAGCTGGCCTGAAACCTGCCATGTGGACCACAGATCTTCCTGCCTTTGCCTCCCCAATGCTGAGAGTAAAGGATAGGCAACAACACAGGGATCCACATGACTTTTTAAAACGGAAATGAACAAAAATTTTCTCAAAGTTTAGCATGTAGTATTAAAAATGTTGTAGTTTTATGGGTGGAGGGTGCAGCTCAGTAAGAAAGCACTTGCCTAACATGTATGAGGCCCTGGCATCAATCCCCAGAACACAAAATAAATTTAGAAGGCCAAATAGCCAGATATGTCTACAGTATTTTATCGATCCATTTAGTTTTGAGACAGGGTCTTAAGGAGCCCAAGCTGGCCTTGAACTTGTTATGTAGGCAAAGATGATCTTTGATTCTTGATTGTCTTGCCTCCACTTTCCAAGTGTAAGGGTTACAAATGTCTGCCACCACACCAGCACAACTTCAAATGCAAATTTCAAATGCAAGAGAGTATGTAATACTTCAAGTAAAAACAAAATTATATAAGGCAGAGACAGTAAACAGCATAAATCACAGATTATAAGATTTAGCATTACTAACAACTAAAGTTAGATTTACTAATTACTTTATTATGTAAAGATATGAGATCACATCAGTGGTTTTATATTTTCATTAATATTAGTGAGTAAATGGTCATTTTCATTGGGGTGGAAAGAAAGAAAATACTAGTTGGGGCTAGATGTACCAATCATTTCTCTATAGATGAAAACAAAATACATAGAAAAAAAAAGTTTAATGGCTCAGGTTGGTCCACTTTAATTTTTTGAGACAGTCTTATAATGTTCAAGCTGGCCTCAAACTCACTATTTACCCAAGGAGGACCTTGAACTTCTGACCCTCTTGCTCCCACCATCCAAGTGCTGAGATTAAAGGCATGCACAACCATGATTTTCTGTGGTGCTAGGGAAAGCATTCTACTAACTGAGCTACATTCTCAGCTCTACATTGCATACTTTTTCTAGTTCTTACATTTTTATCCATTCACCTAATAAACGTTTATGAACAAACTTATTTTGAAACACTGGCTATATGCCAGGCATTCTACTTTCCTACTTTCTCAATAAACTTACCCACTGAGAACAAGGGACCACATTGGCAAGAGCCATAGCAATAGGGAGCTCTCCTTGGTCCCCCATCATTGTGACCAGCTCCACAAGTCTCTCAAACCGATCTGCCAACACTGTTTCTGCAAGTGTGTCGAACTCTGTGCCTTGTTGAAGGATTTTTGTCAGAACTTCCATAAATGTAGCTCTTGTCTGGAGATCCTTGTGATAACCTAAGCCTGACATGGACAGACAGATACAAATTTACTACCACAGCCTGACTTAAGCAATTTTTGTTTTACATGTCGTGTCAACTCTAGGTTTTAATTTTTTATTTTATGTGTATAAGTGTTTAGGTTTTTGTTTGTTTGTTTGTTTGTTTGTTTGTTTTGGTTTTTCGAGACAGGGTTTCTCTGTGTAGTGTTGGCGCCTATCCTGGAATTCACTCTGTAGCCCAGGCTGGCCTTGAACTCACAGAGATCCGCCTGCCTCTGCCTCCCGAGTGCTGGGATTAAAGGCGTGCGCCACCACACCCGGCCGTGTATAAGTGTTTTTGCATGCATGTATGTCTGGGCACTACATGTGTGCCTGGTTACCACAGAGGCAAGGGGGCACTATCATATTCCCTAGGTGATTGTGAGCCACCACGTAGGTGATGGAAACTAAACCCAGGTCCTCTGGAAGAACAGCCAATGCTCTTAACCACTAAGCCATCTCTCCAGCCCAGCTCTCTAGGGTTTTGTATTTCTTTTTTGTTTTTATTTGTTTGTTTGTTTGTTTGTTTGTTTAGAGACAGGGTCACTGTGTAACTTTCACTGGCCTGGAACAACCTGTATAGACCAGGCAAGCCTTAAACTCACAAACAACCTGTTTGCTCCTGGTTGATGGGATTAAGGGCATGCACCACCATGCTGGGACAGTTTTATGTGTAGCTTTCATTTGATCTCACCTATGGAGTGCATGAGTCCACTGTCCACATTAGCATTGAGTAAGTTGGACATTGCAAGCACTGTACAGTGCCTCAAGGATGCCAGCCTTCGAGACATGCCACGTTTCCTGCCACCAGTCTGTGCGTTTTCATCTTCAACTTCACTACAGTCATTCAGAAGGTTCATAAACAGGGTGAAGTACCTGGGAAATACAAAGACTGACCTTTACACAGTGAAGGCCACACCAACCAGAAAGCTAAACATGCATTCTGAGTGATCATATATGACACTATGCATGGCCATGAATATATACTTTTCTAATCTTGGAGTAAGAAGTCAATGTAGTTCATTATTAAATTGCTGTGAGAATTATTTTATCCTGACAAAGTACAGTATTGATTTCAAGACACAGGCACAGAAGATGTGCAAGGTTTCTTGGCAAATGTGTCATTTTTAATATTTAGCATACAATATTCATGGTCCAAATAGTTTAGACATTGTCTTGTTTGTCTTGGGGGGGGCTGTTTGTTTTTGTTTGTTTGGTTTTGAGACAGGGTTTCTCTTTGTAGTCCTGGCTGTCTTAGAACTCGCTTTGTAGACCACACTGGCCTTGAACTCAGAGATCTGCCTGCCTCTGCCTCCTGAATGCTGGGATTAAAGGTGTGTGCCACCATACCTGGCTTAGACATTGTCATTTTAAATGACTTAATGACACAATCTAGATTTATTACAAGAAATTCAATGATCACATTATTTTCTTAAAAAAAAAAAATTATCTTCTAATCTTGGCCCCATCATTGCACAAGTAGATATGGTATGTTTTATAAGAACAGCCAATGGCCACAATACAAAAGTAATTAGGTCTTCTTTTAAATACAATAATTAGCAACTTAGTTACATTTCTTTGTTTGGGAGGGAAGAAGCTATATTTGCTTTTTTGCTTTGATTTTTGGTGGTTGAAATTTACTTAAGAAATAGCTGTGATTTGGCCTCCATCAGTTCCACCCCATCTCCTTCTTCGGGCTGTAGTGGAAGACCGGCAAGGAGTGAAACTACTGCTTCCATGCTTGCTTGGTCCAAATCCCTAAAGAAAAGTAATGTAGAAACCATGAGCCTTCCAGACACCAACTCTAAGGCTCTCCATTTTATTGATAAACTATAAGCACAACCTAAGCATCAGTAAATATACCATGCCTAGAACACACACAAAGACTGCAAACTTTTAGCCATGTAACTTCTAACATAATATCTATGTCAAATTAAAAGTATGGGGCTGAGGATGCAGTCCAATTTAGCATTTACATGTCTTAGGTTCAAGCTCCAACATCACAGTATAAAAATGAAAATATTCAATTAATCAAGGAACCAAATAAAGAGTATATACTATCAAAGTTATACCTGGCCAGAGAAAAAGATGAAGTTGTCATACTGTTCATAGTTATCATTTCTGATATGCACCAATCATTTGTCATTAAAGCAAATCTAAGCAATTATGCCTTAGAAAGACTCAGCATAATTATAGTCCTCAATCAATACCTTTATCTAATCATAAAGTAATACGATCTAATGCTTTATGCATCTTCTTTCTCAATAACTGTTGACCATTCTTCCTAAGCCAACACCACTTCCCTAGTCCTCTCTCACATTTGTTTCAACTAAGTCTTTCCCTTGAAATTAAAAAAAAAAAAGAAAGAACTTTATATATTTCAAATATGAAAGCTTACCACCAACAAAACAAGTTAAATACAGTGTGTTATAAATACTTAACAGCCATACCTGTAGTGGTTTTCATGAGTAAGGTAAAACATGACAGTTCTTAAAGGTCTCTCTGTCTTTACCTTGTAAGACACTTTACATCATCATCTGCTGCTTGGTTTGACGTTCCCATAACCCAGTCTGTTAGGTATTCTACCATCTTATTCCTGCAGAATGATGAAAAGGAAAAGAATAAACAAATTTTTAATACACACACACACACACACACACACACACACACACACACAGTTTGATAATTTAGACGAGGGTTTTATTGCATAGTTGTATAGCCCAGACTGGCCTTAGCCTTCTGACTGTTGGGACTGCAGGTGTATGCCAATACACCAAAAGAGCCAACAGTCAATGAATTCAGTATGACTTTATAGAAGAAACACTGCTATCAGATGTAATGAAATAAAAGTCAGAAGGGCACAAAAAGATACAACTTGGATGCTGGTCCTTTGCACTGGCACTTTCCTATATTGCCAATGTGGAAACAGAATTAAACTTTTAGTGCCACAAGTTAGTTTAAGAAAGGGGCGGGGGGGGGGG